CTGATTGGTTTCTGAACTCTCGATAGCGTGCTTCGCGTGTCTTGTCTGCCAGCTGGAGCCGTTTACCAGACGCGCCGTGGCTGTTTTCTAGTAAATCTTGCGCAAACTGGGTTCTTGGAGGCATGCAAATTATCCCATTAAGCTACTAGCCATAGCACAAGGGGATTTAAATAAACGAACACTGTTCACTTTGCTTAGTACTGTGTCTATTTGTTTTTCAAAGGTTCGCGTTTGTTTGCTTACTCTGAGTTTGTCTGCTGAAAACAAAGAATGCAGTTTTTAGTTCAGCCAGATGGTGGCATTACTTCTTATTCTTTTTATTCATACTTCTTAGAGCCTACCTACCACACCGTCAGCAAAAATACCTGCTTGCTTCGAGGTACTTATTTTAAATTACCGCAGCCTGTCTTTGAATATCAATGTTCGTTTGTATTCATGTCTGTATACTGAGTTAAAATCCATCTTCTTGAGCTGTCCGTTATTCTACCATTGTTAGGGATAATATAATCTACCGGTTACTTGCATCATCACTCAACTTCTCTCGCATTTAAACTAACTAAGCATATCAGGTAAACTTTTAATATCCCGCTTTACATCCACGAGAGGACCAAAAAGCCACTAGCCGCCACGCGGTACATGAACTCTAGTTCCAACTTGCTTTGTTTAATTTCCGGGGAAATTAATGCACGAACTGGGAGTACACCCTTCGGAACAGACCTCTTCAGGCACGATCCGAAATTTGATATGAATATTTGGGCGGAAATCCATCGGTTACTGAGGGATAGGCGCCTAATATTCACCAACCGCCAAGTTCGTGCAATAATTTTCTTGGAAATTAAACAAGGGAGGAAGAAACCACACGGGGCGACTGGGAGACCCGTTGATAAGCCGAACCCCTAATATCTGCGCCAGACAACGGCAAAAGATCGGCGAAACACGCGTGTCTGGACTCGTATGTTTACTGGTATATGAACTCCAGTTCCATCCTGCCTTGTATAGTGAAGAATCACGTAGTTGTATACTACCGGCTGCCTGTTGGCGGTTTGTGAATATTGGGCGGTTATTTCGAAGTGGCTGATGGATCGCAGCTCAAATATTCCTATCAAATTTTGGACCGGGCTTGAAAAGGCATGTTCTGAAAAATTTACTCTAAGTCCGCGCATTAATTTCCTCAGAAATTAAACATGGCAAGGCAAAACTGGAGTTCCCATACCAGCAAACACACAGGGAAGGCTGGGAAACCCACTGATGAACCGAACCTCTCGCAGCTGCGCCAGGCAGCGGCACAAGGTAGGCGAAACACACGTGCCTGGACTTTTATCTAGTAGCTGTGTTGTCAGTACGGTAAATAATTACACATGTCCATAGAACCGTTAGTATATGGTTTGAATAAGGACGACACAGTTGATTTCTGAGGCTTAAACGGAAAACAACGTTAGCATCGAAGTTCAGAGTAGGCCCAACTTTGTGGTGCCGTCATCACAACGGCTCCCAGATTTTGGGTCTCTGTGCAGCCACGAAGACTGTTGGCCACGCGGTGGACGCGCTGGAACAACACAGAGGTTAAATCGGAGTCTAGCAGGCGTTGTCGGAATGCGCGGCATAACAAATGCCAACACTCGGGACGTGCTGGCGAGTCCACTTGTTGCGCACATAAGGACCCCTGTCGTCCCTCGTGTTTGGTTAAAAGCCTATTCAAGTGTTTGTTGTGAACCAGGGAGTGTGGTGGTACGCCTGGGTGTGGTTCCGGCCGCGCCAGCCACCTGTGCCCTTCCCCGTCTCCGATCTTCTTGAATACGGACCCAGTTGGGGAAGAAGGAAAGAGTACAGTAGTCGCTGTGCAAGTCCACTACCATTATAAAAGAAACCACGCACAAGGCACCGTGCCTGCTCTCACCCTGCTCTAGAGGACACGGTAAACATCGTCGGTGACGATGGGCGAACTGCCACCAAGAATGAGGGTCTTCGGTGTCATCACGCGTAATTGAGTGCGAAACGTGGAGTCACCGCCTACAGAAGCCCCAAGGTACTTCTCTGGCCTCATAAGTTCGCTGATTTCCCAGACACCCCTATTAAGACGTAAGTAATTCCTTTTGTTGGAACTGCGTAAAGCTTATCTGAATAGGCCTAAAGCTGATTACAGACTTATGAGGGTTATTTTGCCCTTCTAAACCGTGACTCGGTCGCACACAGGAATATGGACCCCGTATTATAGGTTGTCTCACGTTAAACCTTCGGAGAGTACGTGTTACTCTTTACCCAGTCCCTAGCCCTCCTAAATTTACCATTAAGCTTAACCCCTTTCTCATTCGGCATTTAAGGCCAGACCACCCGTAATACGAGGGAAGTCCCTATTCCCGTGCTCAACTAGTGTCTCTTTAAGTTTTCAGCTTTGGGCAGCTCAATGACAAATCAACCATGGTAGGGGGCGCTCCCCGATCGTTCTTACGGAACTCCCTCGTTCCTTTGTGCCTTAGGGGCTCCCTCTTTCTCGAGCCCAACCAGCGAGTTCGAGTCTCGGGTGTTCCACATTTCGGGGTTGGGTATGACTGGCTGGCGATGGCTAATAGGCCAGAAATGGCCATTTCAGGCTCTCTTGTCTTTGTCGGTAATAACATACTGCCTAAATCAACCATATCCAGTCTTCTCGAATAAGCTCGTCTCGGAGGATTTGCGTAAACGTTTTTGCCCTCTAAATGAGTCACCTGGTAAATGCGTTGTACCAGCACGGGGGTCACATCGGATTCTGGCGGGCGTTATCTTTGCGCAATAACAAATGTCAACATCTAGTGGGTGCGCTGGCAGAACCTGTTGTCTGCAGTCGCCGCACAACTCGGACCACTGCCATCACCCCATTGTTTTGTGGATCAAAATCCGGGCCATTTGTTTAGAGGACCAGGGGTGCGGAGTGGAGCGCCAAGATGAGAATCCGTCGGAACCATCCACCTGCGGCCTCCCTCATCTCCGCTCTTCTTGACTCTGTCTTGACACCGGGCTCAGATGGGGGAGGAGGAGAGAGTGTGGTAGATGCATTACAAGTCTACTGGCACTATAAATTCCCGCGCAGGTCACCGTCCCTGCTCCCACCACCTGCCGTGGGGCATACGGTGGACATCGTCGAAATCGACGGCCGAACTCTCGAGTAAACGTTTGAAGTTTTAGTAGCCATTACCGCGCTTCCTCGAAGTCTCTGTAAACAGCAATCCTTTCTACGGACGAAGGTAAGGTAGAATAGCATTACCGACAAAGACAAGGGAGACTGGAATGGCCATTTCTGGCTTATTAGCCGTCGTCAGCCAGCCATACCCAAGCCCGAAGTGTGGAACACCCGAGCCTCGAACTCGCGACCTGTTGGTTTAGAAGTCAACGACTCTACTCACGGGGCCACGAGCCCGTTGCCTTGTCGGTTTTCGATCGGGAATATACAATGTTAGGGGGCGCTCACCGATCGTTCATACGGAACTCACTCGTTCCGTTGTGCCTTAAGGGCTCTCTCTCGAGCCCAACCAGCAGCCGCACAGTGGCGCATGATATATATAGGCAGGTGCATTCTTCCCTGTAATCAGTAAAGGCATCTAATTTATTCGCTTAAACTAGTGAGCGTTTACCACGGTAAGACTCCAACGTTCATGAACATTTCGCTTGGAATGATTCTACTCCTAGTCGCTGTCCCTTTAACTGAATTATAACGGCCAACAGGAAAATTGCCAACGTAATTGCGTTAATGGTCTTTCACGGGCTGTTCAGATAAAAAAAACTCCGCGGATTACCTCCAGTGCCTTGACAGTTCGACCATCGGTTTCGATGATGTCCACCGTGTGCCCCACAGTTGCAGCAGCAGTGGGAGCAGGGACGGTGACTTACGCAGCGGCTTATAATGCCAGTAGACTTGCGTAGCATCTACCTACACGCTCTCCTCCTCCATCGCCCGAGCCCGGTGTCAAGACAGAGTCCAGAAGACCGGAGACGAGGGAGGCCGCAGGTGGATGGCTCGGACGGATCCTCACCTTGGTGTTCTACCACACCCCCTGGTCCACACAACAATAACCAGGATTTCAACCAACAACAGAGATTTGGAGGCTGGCACGACCGAAGCCGAACCTAGGCGCGCCGCCAACGCCTGGCTCGGATCCCACACTGTGGTGGGAGTGCCATAAAGGCCACATTAAAAAGGAGCAATTGCAGCCTGACTCTCAGACCGCTTCCAGTGAAGGACGAGGTCCAATTTACCCCGTCAGTTGGCAACCTTCCAAGCCACGGCTTTTAGCGCACCGTGATAGCTTCAAGCGCGTCAGATTGTTTATAGTGAGGAGAAAGTGCGCTGAGTCGTCGACCTCACTCTCCCTTTCCACTCCCACACCCCAGCCGCTGTCCGAGCCGGTCAGCAGACTGGAGTGGGGAATGGGCGCGGTGGCTGTCATGGCCGACTGAGCATGACTGCGCGCGCCACGGCACGACCTTGCCCCCATACACACACAAACACCAGGATTTCACACAACGGGGGTTGAACGGCGTGTCTCTCACTTGCGTGAGAGGGCCGCGGAAGGTGCAGCTTCAGCCCGTCCCCAGCCCACCAGTCCGCCACTCCACACAACACACACCCACAACGCGATGAACTGCGTGAACCGAGATCGGGCGTCAATCAGCAACTGTCCTATCCACGACACTTGACGTGTCGGGATAGTCTCGGACTCAAGTCACCCGTGCAGCCGAAGCCGCATGGGGACCGAGTCGAGATGCGGACTTCTCACTTGCGTGGGAGGTGGCAGTTGGGTGCGTGTTGATGTGTGGTCGTGATGGTGGAGGAAGTTAAGGAGTGTGTGGATGTGTGGTGTAACCGGCGGTTGTCTACCGCAGATCATCGTGAATGCGCATGTGTCCGAATAGGCCCATGCGATGCGTGAAGGTGCGAGGACAGTGTGGACAGTTGAGTCGAGCTTGGTGGGTATAGGTTGGTGCTCCAGGCACTGGCTCGCCAGTCTCTGTGCGATGGATTCGCAAGTGACCAATCAGGCCGATGTGTGAGGTGAAGGTGCGGTCACAGTGAGAGCAGGTGTAGTCCTGATCCTCATAGCTGGAGTCGGGGGAGGTGGTGGTGGTGGTGGTGGTGTCTGTTGTTGTGTCGCGGTTAGTGATGTGGCCGTTGGGGCAGTGGTGGTGGAGGAGGAGGAGGAGGAGGAGGAGGAGGAGGAGGAGGAGGATGGTAGTGGTGGGTCAGAAGAATTGTCAGAGTTATTTGGCGGCGGAGAGGAGGAGTAAGAGGCGGGCGGGGGGACGATGGTTGGTGCAGTTCCAGAGGCGCAGTTAATCCGAAGATGTCCAACAAGTCCGATTCGTGCCCGGAATGTCCGTTGACATCGAGGACACGTTGGAAGCGGTTGTGCGGCGGCGTTGCGTACTGGGCGAAGTTGTGATTTGCGGGCTTCGCGTTTCGCTTTGGCGACGACGATGCAGTTGGCTTCGTAGATCGCAGCGCCTGTCTTCACTGTCCTCCTCCAGGTCGGTCGATCGAGTGCGAGCTCTTCCCAGTTGGTCGTGTTGATTTGCAGGCGTTTCAGGGAGGACTTCAGAGTATCCTTGTAACGGCGAATCTGGCCTCCTTTACGGCGAGAACCCGTCGCGACGTCTCCGTAGAAGAGTCGTTTGGGTAATCGCTCGTCGTCCATGCGCACCAGATGGCCGCTCCAGCGCAGCTGCATTTGTCTCAACATGGAGTAGATGCTGAGGAGTCCCGTCCGTTCCAGCACATCAGTGTCGGGGATTCGATCCTGCCAGTTCAGCCTCGGGATGCGGCGGAGACAGCTGAGGTGGAAGTGGTTTAGTCGACGTGCCTGCTTTGCGTACACCGTCCAAGTCTCCGCTCCATACAGTAGTGTCGGCAGGATGACGGCCTTGTAAATCTTCAGCTTCGTGCTCAGCTGAAGACCATGACGATTCCGAACTGTGCTTTGGAGGTGACCGAAGGATTGGCTGGCTCTCGAGATCCTGTTGGCGACTTCGTCGTCGATCTTGGTGTTGCGGGAGAGAGTACTGCCCAGGTACGGGAAGTTCTCCACCACTTGCAGTTGGGTCCCATTCACGCTGATTTGCGGCGGCGCGTTGGGGACTGTGGCTGAGTTGGGTGGCGGTTGGTGCATCACCATCGTCTTCTGCGTGTTCATGACCAGACCGAAATTCTCGCAGGCGGCGGAGAACAGGTCCATGCTCCGTTGCATCTCGTCTTCCGAGGTGGTGTTCAGGGCGCAGTCGTCGGCGAAGAGGAGTTCGTGAACAGTGGTTGTGGATACGCGCGATTGGAAGTGCATCCGCCGTTGATTCAGCAGGTGACCGTCCGTCCTGTAGGCGATGCGGATCCCGGAGCGTTCGTCGCGGTAGGCGTCCATCAGCATGGCAGAGAACATGAGACTGCAGAGGGTAGGCGCCAGTACGCCGCCCTGCTTCACTCCGTTGGTCACTGCGAATGCCTCTGAGACAGCTCCGTTGTCCGTGACTCGCGCCATCATACCGTCGTGCAGCTGACGCACCATCTGAGGGAATCGCTCCGGACAGCCGAATTTTTGCATGATGATTGCGTCCTTGAAATCTTGCGGGACTTCGCCTTCACGCCATATCTCCTGGAAGAGCGCAGTCAGGTGATCCAGCAGTTGGGGACCTCCATGCTTGGAGACCTCAACAGGGATTGCGTCCGATTCGGGTGCTTTCCCGCTGGAGAGCTGCTGCACGGCCCTGATGGTCTCCTGTAGAGATGGCGGGAAGTCGATGTCCGCGTTGGTCTCCACTTGCGGCAAACGCTCGATGGCGGCGTGCGAGATGGCGGAAGGGCGGAAGGGCGGTTGAGGACGCCTCGAAAATGCTGGGCCCATCGCTGTAGGATTTGCGTCTTCTCAGTCAGGAGAGTATTGCCGTCGGCGCTGAGGAGAGGAGCAGTGCCCTTCGTCTGTGGACCGTAGACAGCTTTGATTGCGGAGAAGAAGTTCTTCCATTCCTTACGGTCCGCGTAGCCTTGGATCTCCTCAGCTTTGCGAGCAGTCCAGGCGTCCTGCATCTCGCGCAGCCGTGGAGTGGTAGAAAGCAGTTCTGTTGGCATCAGTGGGGTGGTTTACGTAGGCTTTGTGTAGGCGGTTCTTCTCAGCAAGCAGATTTCGGATGGCGGCGTCGTTGTCGTCGAACCAGTCCTGGTGTTGGCGGGGAGCGCGACCGAGGACGGCGAGCGCCGTCGACTGGACCGTGTCTCGCAGTTGACACCAGCGGTTCTCCACGGAGGCGTTCTCGGCAGCGACGGCGTCGGCAGCGATAGGAAGGTTGTCTAGCCGGTGAGCCGGCTCATTGCTGAAATGAAGGTGGTGAGCGGGCAAAGACAACAAGGCAACATTCAGCTTACCTGGGGGTGGCTTACCTTGTGGTCTCCTGCTAGGCTGTATGCGAATACGCATCTTCGATATGACGAGGCGAGGGTCGGTCCACCCGTCAGCACCCGCGATCGCCTTCGTCACCAGCACGTCCCGCTGATCTCGCCTCCGGACGAGAACATAGTCCAGCAGGTGCCACTGACGCGACCGAGGATGCCTCCAGGTGGCCTTCTCTCGCTCCGGCAGACAGAAGGTGTTCGTTAGGATGAGGCGGTGCGCTGCGCAGGTGCGGAGCAGCAGCAGACCATTGTCGTTGGAGCCGCGGAAACCGTGAAGACCCAGCACTCCCCTCCAGGCAGTATGGTCTGTGCCGACGCGGGCGTTGAAGCCGCCAAGGACAATCAACTTGTCCGCCTTCGACACAGTCGCCAAGAGGGCGTGCAGGTCCTCGTAGAATTTGTCTCTGACGGCGTCGGGGTTGGTCATCGGCGGAGTGTAGGCGCTGATGATGGTGGCGAATTTGCCCACACCCCGGAGTGGCAGACGGAGGCTCATCAGGCGATCGTTGATGCCCTGCGGCAGACTGGGCAGTCGTCCCACGATGTCATTCCGGATGGCGAAGGCGACGCCCGCGTCTCGTCGCTCTGGCCTGGGCCAACCACTCCAGAAGAAGGTGTAGCCGGCACTTACCACCTCCAGTTGGCCTTGTTCGGAGAATCGGGTCTCGCTGAGTGCGGCGATGTCCACCTTGCATCGGGCGAGTTCTCGTGCCACTAGAGCCGTCCTCCGCTCCGGTCGGTTGCTCCTCGGATTGTCTAAAAGGGAACGAACATTCCAGGCTGCTAGAGTGAGCGGGCTCACCCTGCCAGTCTGGGGACAACGAGTGCCTTAATGGCCTTGTCTTTCGCATTTATTTGCCAAAACTCCGTCACTGCATGCAAACAGCTTTTTGACTACAAACCGGGTAGGTAAGTTTCCAGCGCAATGGGCAACACCACCCACGTCCAAAAATTCGTCCGGCTGCCCACATTGTATACACGAAGTTAAACTAACGGGTAACAGCAGAGTAGGGACTCGGCACCGATAATGCCTTGTTTAAAAACCAAATGGAGGGTAGTGTGTTTAGTGTGTTTAGATAACGTTTGTGAACCATACGATTTATGAAGTGTCAGAAACAGAGAAAGAGAAGTCCAGGGGGCAAATGGAATGCAGAGATTCGAAATACTGATGAGGGCTTTCATTAAGGCAACAAGTATACCATAAGGCGCGGCTAATTATAGCAGGCTGTGAGCACATTTCACGTAAAAAGGGCTATGCAAATCAAAATGTGGCAAACTATATTTGAACCTGAAAGCAAAAATAGGAGTTGACGCAACCTTACCCCGAAGGTCGAGGAATCGGAGGCGGTGTGCACAAACCTGTGGAGGTTAGGCGCCCCCTACGTCCTTCTCTTCTCATTCTAATCGTTAATACGAGCGTTCGACTGTCGATTTCGACGATGTCCACCATGTGCTTCATAGTAAGGTGAAAGCAAAGACGGTGACTAGCTAATTTTTGTGCTTATGGAACGGAACCAAATCTCCACATCGCATCTTATGAACTGTTCTGTCTGATGGTCAATAAGTGTGTTTCTTGGTTCTCATCATCAGGTTCTAGCATAACAAACGATCCTGGACTCTGGATGAGCAAACAGAAAACCACAATGTGTGGCACAAAATTTTGTGTCGAACGATTTCCTTTTGAAAGTACTTGTTTACCACTATGAGGAGTGCAAAAACAACAATATATTGGACTGTTAAAATACGTTTACGAAGTAGGCAAAAAATAACCACAATACGGTTGTTGTTTTGTCATTATTATCATAGGTATAAGTTCATATTTGGTCAGATGTGGTTATGCAGTCCCACGTGAAGTAAACAAAACCCGCCACCTGTAATACGGGACCCGTGGTAATAGGGGGTTTTTAGAGGCGGGGCCGGGGAGCGCACAGGCGACGAGGTCAAGTAGTCGTATGCAAAAGAAAAGCGATTTGGATGCGCGGCTGTCCTTTGAATGGTTGAGAAATAGGTGCCCTTGCCCTAACACCTAACCCTAACCCCTAACTCCAACCCCAGCCCCAACCCTAACGCTTGGCCGAAGCCCTAAACCCTAACCCGAAACATCCAACACGAATGTTGAAGGAGACGACAGGCCGAAAGTCAAGAAGGTCCACCGGCGCTGGGCCAAGGAAGGTTGAAACGGCAACAAAGAAACAAGGCCGCTAGCAGAACACACACCGCAACGCACAGCAACAGCATTCCAATGTAATCACTCCAATTCAAAATAATGAAGTAGGTCCACAGTATTGTGTCCATTAGGTGCGGCTACATAACCACATCTTACCTCATATTTTAGCAGTTGGCGTTTAAGGTGTTGATCTGTCCGAAGCCATATTGGGAAGAAGTCATGAGATTACTTGAGATGGCATATGCAACGAAGACGTAAGGCACGGAAACAACTACGAGTGTTGTTCAATTTGACATTCTAGAGAGACGGCTTAGTTGCAGCAAACTTTTAAGAATATCCTTATTAACACTAAATCCGGGTTCTGAATGAAAAAAATGGTTTAGAAAAACGCGAGTAAAACAAGACATCTTCAACAATAACAGTATATAGTTTAGATTGCAGTGTCAAAGGTAGATGCGAACATAAAAACCATGTAACGGTAAAGGCGAGTAGGATAAGGGAGGAATTCACTTGAAACGGGAGTTGGACCAGTTTTGGTTTTAATGTCCATATGCGTGCGATAGAAATGATTTAAGTCGTTACCGACCTTAAATTATTGAGCACTCGGTTACTACTATTCCAGTTTTATCTAAGCAGTTTGTCTGGTCAAGTTTTTGATTTAACCGAGAGTATTCACAAAACATGGTTGGTTCGAATTAGAGGTTCCGCAAACGTAAACCTAGGTAGTGCTGACTTTTGACTGCCAATGAACCGGAAATGGCCGTCCATGTCTCCTTTGTCTTTGCAATAATCGGCCGTGGAACAAATGTGACACGGTAGTGAACGAGAGATTTGTGCCTGGTACGCTGAAGGTTCTTGTTTTTTGAAAACTGGTGCATGTGCTAACCTCTCAAGTGTGAGTATGACAGTTCAACCGTCGTGCCAAACGAAGTCCACCGTGTGCTCCACAGAAAGGTGAAACAGGCACGGTGACTTGCGCGCGATCTAGTTTATAGGGAGAGTAGACTTGCGCAGCATCTACCGCACTCTCTCCTCCCCACTTGAGCTCGGTGTCAAGGCAGAGTCAAGAAGACCGGAGATGGAGGAGGGCGCGGGTGGCTGGCGCGGATGGACCCGCACCTAGGCGAAACACCGCATCCTGGTCCCCAACAAACACTTGACCGCGATTTTAACTGACAACAACAACTCCACGACGGGTCAGAAGAAGGAGGATAACTGGACAGCCATACTCACATCCTGTATACCCAGCGGGAGCGCAAGCGCATCTACCGGCAGAGAACCAGATGCCAAAGAACTGCCAGCGCATGTTATGACAATGGTTTGCCGATCACGGCATAGCAGGTGCTTTTAAACACAATGCCTGTAAAACGCTATGAATTTCCAATCTTTACTAATTCTCATCTTGATCAACCTATATAAACTAGCTGCTGCGCCCATAAGCGTTCCTGGTGAAGTGGAAATACGTTTTGCAGACAGTGGTCAGGTAATAATTTTGCGTTATATCCAGATGAAGATACTCAGTTTGAAGTCAGCAACTTTCGTCCGCAGATGCATGGACCCTTACTGCATAAACTCCACAAATAAGGCCAGGTGAAGAGACGCCGGTAGACGTCAGCTGTTTCTTGCGTCGAAGACGATAAAACCCTTCCTACTATTGACGACGGAAGCGGATTTGGAGAGAGAGTGTGTGTAGTGGATTTTTGTGGTGGATGCATGCGCAGCACAGACCACGCCCCTGTTTTCATTGTAAATCCTGACCCAATGATAAGATAATGTTAGATCGGCTGGAGTTGTGTTAAGTATCCTTTTTACGGTTTTCTTGGCTTCCCATTTCTCTTCTTCTTCCTCTCCACAGGGTCTAACGATCAGCAGGCCTACCTGAGGCGGAGGGCACTTGCGCGCACCGCTCGCGGTTGTTTTTGACCGGCGGGAAGCCGTCTTCACTTATGTGGGTGGCAGTTGTCGTACGCCCATAATTAGAGGACGGAGAAATCACAGACTGCCTCTCGATCCTGGCGACCAAGTTATCCTGCTAACTGACAGACCGTCAAGCCAGGTCTTGTAGGTTTTCTTGCTAGTCACTTCCCGTTCAGTTATGTAATAACGAGGGAAGTTCGAACACGATTGGCCTCTCTGCCCCACTGATCCACTTGACCCAACTGTCAAAGCCCCGGAACCCTCGATGGAATTCGAACCCGGGACAACTAGGACAAGGCTTAAGTACAGCCAAACTACGAAGCCCCTAGTGGGCACCGGGATTTTAATCACATTTGTGTTCAGTTACCCACCCAGCCTACTGCAAGTTATGGAATCCAGCAATTCTGCTAGTGTAAGCTGACCGCCTAAACATAATTTCCCAAGTAGTCCATCTAGAATCCATCCGATTACTGTCAAGCTCACCTTTTTACTAGGCGCTCTTGGCAGATTTGAATAATTCAGTCGACCCGCTCGTGTGCCTAATAACTGAGGTGTTTTGAACGTTGACTATACTCAAGTTTTGCTTTTGATGTCGGGGTTTGGAATCCCACAGAGGCCGCCGATTTTTTCACTATTGGATCAAAGAAACGTTTTTAGGCTAGCATCTAGTTGCAGAATTTATGTAGGACTCATAGAAATCATTCCGTTTTAGCTGGGAAGGAATTGGACGTAAACCATTGTCAATTTTCTCCTAGTGTGTCTTAGTATGACTAGGTTGTATTCAAAATTTCTACATCAAAGCAGCACGTATCCGGCAAAAACTGCCGTCAGGCTATCCAAGAACCCAGTACTCTGCAACCAGAAGACTGGGCAGTCAGCATATTGTATCAGAACTGATCGATTCCATACGTTGCAGTGGACTGGGCGGATAACTTGACCGAAATGTGATTGCACTTACGCCTTAGTTCCGGTGAGTAGAGCGTTTGCTGCTGTATGCAAGCCTTGCCCTTGCTGTCCTGGGTTCGAATCCTACCAAGGCCAGTGAGTTTTCACAATTGAGTTAAATGAATAGTCTCATTATCTAGCCGGGGCTCAAAATAAGCGCGTTGATTGAATTAACTTCGTGTTCCGTTTACGGCATGTCGCTCACGCGCCGGATTTCACCCAGGATAGGCTACCATTAAGCGAACGTTTGACCCCCTTTAGGGCTGCCTTTAAGACGTGGAGCCTCTTTGGAGTTCATGGTCTCAAGTAAATGGCATGGAACTATGTTTCCGGGTAATTGCAGCACTGATTTTCCTGGCACGATGGAAATCAAAACAGCGATGAACGCAACTTGCTGTCGTCTAAAATCTGCGTCCTCCGTTACAAAGCCGGGGAATGCGATACATTTGTGTCATTAGGCCCTTTGTACAGCCGACATTCTCGAATGAATGAATCAAGTATGTTGCGCGACGGTCCAGGCATAAAACCTACTCAGTTTGGTTGGAAGTGCCCTACGAAATTCGTATCACACAAAGCCACCGTGTAACTTTCTCAATTATTTTGGATAAATTCAGTTGGCAAACACATGAATTCGGTAACTCATTATCAGGCAAATACAGTAATATAGAAATTTTTAAAGATGGAGCAATTCGCAGAGCATTATTAGACAGAGGTGAAAACAGATCCATTCCGAGTTCTATTCTCACACATCTTGTGCATACGAATCATCAAGTCGATGCCAAAGAAGCCTTTGAGGTTGTCTACCGGACATCAGCAAGCTTCTCCAGATGCCTACGCCAACAGGTGCTGGCTACACCCGAGGCAGTAGCTATAAGGTTACCGATTCCAGTTCTATGTTGTCAGAAGACTTCGACACAGGCGCTCTGTTTTCCGTGGTCAACACCGATCCCAGATTGTTATTGTACACCCTTCCAACTACCTGATGGGAGTGATGTGCGCTTTACGTAATCGACTTACAAATATCGGTAAAGATCGCTTACTCTGCCATAGTCCCAAGTGTAAGCGCAGTGTGGACATTGCAATTAAAGTAATTCGAAGAAGGATGTTGAAATCTTTAGCGGGAAAATAGCCAAAGCCAGAACGAAAACGGACAACCTGAAGTTTCGGTTTGGAGGTAGGGTTAATTCTAGGGTTTGGGTTAGTGCCAGGGTGAGAACTGAGTTTATGGTTAGGGTTTGCGTTAATTTTCAGATTTCCGGTTAGAGTTAGGGTTTGGGTTGCAGTTAAACTCTACGTTTAGTTTTGAGGTTGTGGATAGGGTTAGGATAGGGTTACGTTTGAGGTTGGGGTTTAGGTTAGGGTTAAGGTTTGTGGACGGTTTAGTGTTAAGTTTATGGGTTAGTGTTAGTTTTATAATTATGTTAAGGGCCAGGTTTACCTCTGAGGTTAGTTTTACCGTTGGGTTTTGGGTGTTCTTGCCCAACGTTTCCTGTCAGTCTTTTTCTTCAATCTCGCGCCTGATTTGTCATAAACAAGGTTGACTTTTCCGTTTAAATCTTGGCTACTTTCCCCTCTAAAGATTACGGCATCCCTCTTAGGCCTACTTTACTTTCAATGCCCCCATTGCGCCTACACTTGGGATCAGGGAAACGTTACCGATTCTTGCCCAAATATCATTCATAACCTATGACACCTCCCTTGTCCCGATGATCATGACACGCCGAAGTCGTCGTATGAGTGGTGTGGGAACGATGAGTACTAATAACCCCTGAGACACCTATAAACCCCA